AAGAATCAAATAGAGAACAATTGAATGACACCTAATTTCTAGTATCCAAATTCTAGCAAACCTTCATTAGCTTCTTAGCACATGACCATCTCCTGTTAGGATGCCAAAAAAAGAAAGTTAGAAATGGTAAAAAATAAAGAAAAAGGAAAAGATGCCCTATTGGATTTAGTTCAAGCTTTCTTCCATAAGGTTTTGAGCTTCCAAATATAGTGAGAAGACAAATGGTAATTGAGACAACAATCATACAAAGAAGAAATACAAAAATCATACTACGAGATATACATAGCAATGAAAAGTTATTAGACCAGCAAACAAATTGAGATAGGAAAAGTAAAAAGTTTTTATGGTAGAAAGTTTTTGAGAAAAATTTAGGAGTTATGGGAATTTGTTCTAGTTCAAGTAGGATTCTTAAAGGATTCCAAGATCCCAAGAGGATTAATTTGGTAATTTTTGTGATTTTCTAAAATTTTTCTAAAATTTTCAAATTCAATTGAAATTTTCAGTGAAAATTCAAACTTTCCAACAACTTTCCTAGCAAAAAAACCAGTTACCAATGACATTTTCTAAAATTCGGCATCAAACCCAGATTTCGACCAACTTTTGGCATGATTTTTCAGAATTGGATAGAATTTCAATTAGCCAGCCACTATTGTTCATCAGTTTTAAAAAGAGAGATAGAGAAAAAATAGGGTAGAGAAAAAAAGGCATGGGAAATTTGAAATGAAGAAAGGATTTTGAATTTTTATACTAGTGCTAAACGGCACCATTTTGAGTCTTAAAGCCCATTTAGGATTCATGTGTTTTCTCATTTTCAGATTCGATCTATTGCGTGACCTAATTCATAACCTGGTTCTAGTACCCATAAGCCAAGCCAATCCAAAATAAACTTCAAGCCACACCATCCTGAGTTGTTTTCTGTGTTTGAAGTCATGTCTTTCCTAGCCGAGTTGAGTCGTACAAATTTTTTTGGTAAAAGCTTTTTCTTTATTTAATATGTTTGATTTATATTTGATTTGTTTTAATTAATTTTTCAAAAAAATGTTTTAAAAATAAATTTATGAGTCTAACCAAATTATGAGATGATTTTTTTAGTTTATTATTATTTTTATTATGAATTTTACCAAATTATTAGATAATTTCATAATAGGTTTTTCTTTAAATAAAATAAAAAATTTTCAATCCTACCAAATTATTGGAGGATTGAAATTTTAAATTTAGTACTACTAAATGATTGGAGAACTTAATGAATTTTTTGAAAAAAATAATTTTCCTACCAAACTATTGGAGGATTTAAATCTTAAATTAAATCTTTCCAAACTATTGGAAGATTTAATGAGTTTTTTAAAAGTAAATTTTATAAATGGTTTTCAAATAAAATCTCACCAAACTATTGGAAATCTAAATCAAAGTAAAATCTTACTAAACTATTAAAAGATTTTACTAATTATTTTTTAAATAAAATTTATTAATAAATCCGATGATAGAGCTTTTTTAGAGTGAACACTAGTTTCTATGAATGCTCCTTAGATAAGAAACTTATCTTAAATTGTTACCAAACTAGTACGAGTAATTTTAAGGTTAATTTCTAATAATTAAATTATTTGGTAAACTATAAAGATGTTTTAAGACTTGGATAACTTGGAATCAAATTGGTATCATCATTTGAATGGCCGCTATGAGGGTGCTATAACATTCTCATATGCAACCTACTTTCAAACTTAAATCTAGTTTTGTAGACTAGAATATACCATTTAAAGATACCTAAGTTAAGCTTGGAAGTCATTTTTAAAATGGGATAGATTCAACAAAGTGACCAATTGCACCTAAACAAAAAAAGATTGGTGGCAACTCCGTAAATTTATGTTTAGCAATAGGTCCACAAATCTATACGTTATGATAGGACTAAATGTCTAGTGACTCATGTCACCATGTGTTGTCGAAAGATGGTTGTTTACACCCACGATGAAAAATTGTTGATGCACATATTTCAAAATAATCTCATCAGATCGGTTGCCAAGTGATATGTCTAACTGGACAAAAGTTACATCTATTCATGGAAAGAGTTTGCTAGGGCTTTAATCGCCCAATAAAAGGCATATTATAGATCTAGCTTCAAATTGCCTATCCCTATAGAGCATAGAGAAAAAAGCCATAGCTTCAAATTGATAGTTGTATATGACAAATTCATAGGAGAAAGCAAAAGAGAAAATGACTGTTGAGATTGAAATAGCATCTGATGGTTCTCTCAATATGCAAGAAATGAAAAATCAAATATTCATAGAAGTTGCTGGAAAAGAAAAGCATGGATGGGTCTGAGGCCTTGGATTGGGTCCAACACCATCTGCCTACTATGAACATAGCTCTCAATAATTTACATCCTCAGCAAGTCAGTTTTCACGAGATATTTCAATATTGAGAAGGGAGTTGCAAATTATGCAACAACATTTTCAACAAATAGAAGTAGAAAGAGAACAAAAGCATGCCAAAATTATGGAAGAACGTGCTACAATGGAGCAAAAACATGTAAAATTTCAGCAGTTGCATGATCGATTCAATTATCTTATGAATTTTGTGCAACAACAATTTTCAGAAAATAATCTTAATGCTCCACCAACTCAGGTATAATATTTAGTAAATATTTAAATTTTTAAATATAAAAAAGCCTTACAATGAAGTGTTAAAAATTGTATGGTATTATTCAGTAGGTTTTTGAGCATGCTAGTGACCACAGTGAAAAATTTTCTTCATCAATTGGCAACCAGCAAAATGTATGCAGTCCTCCATTTCATACATTTTAATTTTTATTTTCTTAATGTATTAAAAATATTTGAATGTTATTATACTAATTATTAAACTTTGTATTAATTAGATGCATACTTAAACGTGAATTAACTTTATATTATTTTCAGTTTCTGAATTTAAGCTCTTTAATGAAATTAAAATTTATTAACAAAAATAAAAAAAATACATTTTTACATAATGGCGGCATTTGCATTCAACAATATCTCTAAATGAATAATTTAGTGACGTTTGTATCGTAAAATGCCACTAACAGTAGCGATGCTATTATTAGCAAACGTTGCTAGTAAGTGATGTTTTTTATACAAATGTCACTAAAGCAACGATGTTTGTCTCATAAAAATGCCACTAAATTTGCGGCGTCTAAAATATACAAATACCGCTAATATGGAAGTGTTTTTAGATACAAATGCCTCTAAAGTAGTGATATTTTCAGTTACAAATGCCATCAAAGCAACAGTGTTTTCCTCATAAAAACGTCATTAAATTAGCAGCATCTCAAAGATACAAACGTTGCTAATATAGAGGCATTTTAAAGTACAAATGCCTCTAAAGTAGCGACATTTTTAGTTACAAATGCCACCAAAGCAACGGTACTTTCCTCATAAAAATGCCACTAAATTAATAGTATCTCAAAGATACACACGCCGCTAATAAAGAGGTATTTTCAGATACAAATGCCTCTAAAATAGCGATGTTTTCAGTTGCAAACACCACTAAAGCAATAACGTTTTTCTCATAAAAATGTAACTAATTTAGCGACGTTTCAAAGATAGAAACGCCGCTAAAATGACAGCGTTTTTCGAAAACGCCGTTATTTTTTGTGACGCGTGTATAGCCGACACTCTGAGTGGTATTTTTCGCAAACGCCGCAAATCTTTTAGTGGCGTTTATAAATATCGCTAAACGTTAAAAAAAAATGTCACTAAAAATCTAAATCCCTGTAGTGTCATAATTGTATTCCCAAACCCGAAATGTTTTGGTAAACTAAAAAATTATATTTTTAATAAATTTTAATTAATTTTAATATTTTATTAAAAAAATATTTTTTAAAAGGTGATGAATCGTGCCTAACAAAAAATAATAATAATAACTCCTTTTTTTTTATATTCGTTTAGTTGTTTTTAAGACCGTTATGATAGGAACAAAAACTAAAAATAAAAATAAAAAATCACAATAGTTATTAAGTTATTGATTAAATTTTTATAAATTTAAAGATGGATTCTGCTTAAATGGATAATATAACAATTATTAAGTTTTAACTTGTCAGGGTCAATAAACCAGACCCACCATGCCTACAAGAGGACAGATCAAATTATTCATATAATACCGACTCCCAGTAATGGATTATATCTGACAGGTATAAAAAAGGCAATCAACCCACTCTATCTTTACTCTCTCTTTTCTGTTATTCACCGCTTCTTTTTGGGGCACATACCGAGATGCCTCCTCGTGAAGTTTTATACTATTTCGTATTTTTTATTTAATTTATGTTTTTGTTGAGAATATGTACAAATGAATATTATATACCAATAATTCTGTTTCGTACTTGAATATTAACAACATAATTAGTAAGCAAGCCCGGCCTTTACAATTACTAATATAATCAACCAATATTCATTAACAAAAAGATTAACAAATTAACGAACATGTGGTTAGAGGAAAATCCGATATCATAAGGTTAATCAATGCAATTTGGGATTTGAGACCTGAAACCTGAGAGTTACAAAACCGATGCCAAAACATTGAAACAAGACTTCATTAGTGATCAATTTATATGTTTGTTAAAATGCCAACACATTTGAGTTCAACTATTACAAAAGCGGCAGCACATACTCTGCATATTCCTGCAACTAAAATGACACACTGAAGAAATGGCATTTTTAGTTAAAGGAACTAATTGAGAGGCTAAGCAATAGAGTAGGTATTTTAAGTTGAACAAAATCTTTCTGCCTAAATTAGGACAAATAAAATCAAGTCACTCTCAGTTTGTTTCAACTTACTAACCCACTAATTATCCCGTGTTATAACATTATTTTCAAATAAAAGAAAATAATTTGTTTCTAACCTATTATTTTCATTGGAAATTCAAACATTTTTCCTGGAAAATTCTAATATGGTTTTGACTTGTCTGTCAAAAGATACCTAATTTTGCTTAGCTTCTTTTATACCCTTCATCTCTTAAATGTAATCCTGCCATATTCATCAATATCTCTGATTGCAAGTTTTTCTCCCTCAATCTCTCCATAATTTTTTGAATCCATATTTCTTGCTCCAATTAATCTTGACAGCCTTTTTTTTTTTTTTATTAAACCCAACCTCTCTCATTTACGCTTCCATTGCTCTTGCCTGCCTAGATTTATTTATTTTTTTCGACCACTCTCCAATGGAGGATGATGAATCAATCATGGTTTTAAACGCTAAACTGAATGTGGCAGCAGCAGAAACCTCAGATTCCGGCAACAGCAACTACACATTACGTGCCAACAAACGTTCCAGGCATGAAAACGGTGCCTCTTTAGCAAGGTTTAAAGGGGTTGTGCCACAGCAAAACGGAAATTGGGGTGCACAAATTTATGCCAACCACCAGAGGATTTGGCTTGGGACATTCAAGTCCGAGAAAGAAGCTGCCATGGCTTATGATAGCGCCGCCGTCAAGCTTCGAAACGGGGATTCCCATAGAAACTTTTCATGGACAGATCACAACATCCAAGAGCCTAATTTCCAAAACCTTTATAGCGCAGAAGATGTATTGAACATGATCAGAGATGGTTCCTATCAAGCCAAGTTTGCAGATTTTGTCAAAACACTATCCGAAAGGGATGGGAAATTGGGCACAAAACATAACAAAAATTTGGTTCATGGAGATATACAATTTACTTGTGTGCAACTTTTTCAAAAGGAATTGACTCCAAGTGATGTTGGCAAGCTTAATAGACTTGTGATCCCCAAGAAATATGCTGCTAAGTACTTTCCATACATTTGTGAGAATGATCAACAAAGTTTGGTTGGTGGTGGTGGTGGTGGTGGGTTAGAAGACATAGAGCTTGTTTTCTATGACAAGTTGATGAGGACATGGAAATTTCGATATTGCTATTGGAGAAGTAGCCAAAGCTTTGTTTTTACAAGGGGTTGGAATCGATTTGTGAAGGAGAAGAAATTGAGGGAAAGAGACACCATCATATTTTACACATGTGAGTGGCCTGGTGGGGAAAAAAGGGGCCAAAATTTCTTCCTAATTGATGTAAATTACAATGGTGAACAAAATTGTATGAATGAGGAGAAGAAGGCCTCTAACAGATTGGAATCCTCAGGTCATCAGGATAATTTGCAAGTGGAATTGGAACTGAATTTGGGGAAGAATTTCTACTGCAGAGTGGACAATGAGGACAAACCTATCAATGGATTAGAGTCATCCCATAATGTGGAGGGCAAAAGGATTTCCCTTTTTGGAGTACACATTAACTGACAAAGGCAATAATGTTCATAATCTTATTTATTTTGGGCTTTTTGCCATTTGATTTCTTTTTTTTTTCCCTTTGGCCAGATATAGCTCAGCTTAATTCAGCTGCAATTTATCAGCAGTTATTTGCTTGTATATATTTGCAATTAGAGTCCTGAATATTAGAATATATAATACTGTTCATTTTAGCTTCATTATCCTGCAAATCAAACTAGAAAATTTGTAAATTCTAAATGAAATATTCTTTAATTTTGTCTCAACTGAGGTTTTTTTTTTTTTTTTTTTATCATTCACAGAATTGAACTACATTATAAGAATATACTAGTAAGAAATAATTTTCTTCCTCTCTTTAATCTCCTAAATCTCTAGTTTTTTTTTTTTTAATTATTTAACTTTCAGTAATGCTACTTTCTAAAGAAAAACATTTCCACCTCGAAAATTTTTTTTATTGCACCTTATGTGTCAAAATTTATTAGATAAATTTAAAAAAAAAAATGAGATCTACCAATTTTTAAGTAAGTCACTATCTATAAATGAATTTTTAATTGTTGAATGAATAGATTTTGGTCACATTAATGGAAGCAAAAATTTTTAAAAATAATAATAATGCTTTTTGTTTCACCAATTTTATATCAAATATTTGTATTGACATGAATCAGTGAATTGATTAATAGATCAGATATTACACTTAAGTCAATAAATTATTTTCACGTCAAAAGAAATAAATATGGTGTGACAAAAATGATGGGATCGTATAGTATTTTCCATTAAAAAAAAAAAAAAAGTGGGACAAAAGTATTGGGGCAGCTATGCATATCCCTTCAACCCTTCAAATTAATCTTGTAATTCATCTTGCAAGTTGAAATGAAGTAGTTAAAATCTTCTAACATACAATTGCATATTATCCTTAATTTTTTGCAAAGTAAAAATTATGAAATAAATTGAGATGTGATTAAAATTTGAAAATAAAAAATAATTTTATTTTATTTTATTTTATTTTTTGCTAAGACTGTCATTGGGAAGAGCACTAATTAAAATTTGAGATGTAACAGGAAACAAATTGACCTCAGAAATAGAAAATACTTTATATGTAGATAAATCGAAATATTTTTTCTCCCATTGTAAAACCCCAAATTAAGGGATAGAAAATGATATATAATCCAATAAGCTCTAAATAAAGTAACTAGCATGACAATGGCTCCTTAATTTTAGGATCCAATGTACATTTGAAATAACTTAAATACATATTTTATCCAATCAGATAAATATATATAAGAGAAATTCATTCATATCAATGTAAGTGTTACATTTTTTTTTATTTTTGGATCAAAAGAATTAAATGTAATTTTGATCCAAAAATTAAAAAATATGTATAATACTATCATTCGTCTTAAATCATTATAAGTTCTTGCCTTTTTGAAGCTAGCCCAAACTTTGAAGGGCGGAATAGGATAGATTGTTTAAGAAAAAGTGGTTAAAGACAACTAAATCAAAATTAAAATTAAAAAAAAAGACCATAATTCAAGAAAAACCTTAATTAATTTAAGACCACAAATATGATATTTTGATACATGTTTTCCATACATTGTTATATTTGGCCAGGGGTTCAATGGAATATAAATAAAAGTTTTATATTTGAAGCTTATAATTAATAATTTAAGTTTGATTTAACGGTTATTACTTTAAATTTGAACTATAAAATATTACTTCTTTCTTATCTTATGGTGTAAGACATCAAAGTTACAAATATATTTAAACAGTTAAGGTATCTTCAAATTTTATTTGAATTTTTAAAAATAATTTTAATAATTTACTCTAAAAAATTCATAAATTTTAAATTTTACTTTGAAAATACTAAGGGATGAGTCAGGATTTATATTTAATGGGGACAAGTAATATAGATAATATTAAATATATAAATATATAAATATAAATTAACTCAAATGCATTAAAAATTATTTTGTTTATACATAAAGATAACACATGACAATTGTTCTTTATAGGTTTCATAGTACAAAAATAAACTCTTCCATCATTGTCTCTCTCATTGCGATGATAGTCTAAAATCTTTTTTTGTAACCTTAAATCCAATGAAAAATCATCTAAATCTAATTCAAAATAAACTTATTTTGTAAAATGTTGTATGCCACTATTATTGATTTTGCATAATTCTTTCAAAATTGACTTTTTCTTAATATGATATCTTTCCAAAACTAATTAAATTAGATAATTTAGTTTATATAATTTATAAGAAATAAGAAGATAAATGAAAATGTAATTATGCCTCTCTAATTATTTGATTAGAGGATGACACGTGGCCAGAATGATTATAGTGCCCCTCCTCTCATAATTGGCCAAAATTACTATAATGCACCTCCTAACATATTATGAAAAAGCCCTTGTACCATAATTTGTCAAAATTACTATAATACTCCTTCTATTATAATTGATCAAAATTACTATAATATTCTTCTTAATATAATTATAAAAATGCTCTTATGATTGCTTCATAATTACGCATTAAATTTTAACATAAATATAAAATTAAAACATATTAAATTACTAAAATAACATTGTTGAGATTTGCCTTGAATCTTTTAATCCCACGTCAAAAGTCGAGTGAAGTTATAAGAGTTGAGAGTTTGTTTTAAATTCACATGAGAAATTTAATAAAGTTATAAGGGGTTTCACCTTTATAAATAAAATGCTTTAGTTTTAATTAGATAATCTCAAATAGTTAAAAAAACAGCTAGGTGAGTGGGCTATTAAAATAGTATAATTGGACCTTGAGTTAAATTTTGAGTAAGAAATTTTTGTAACTTTTCTCATTGCAAAAGTCTCACAATTGTAAATATTTATTTATTACTAGATTAAATTTAGAATACGCCACTTTGAGTTGGGCTAAACTATATTTTTGTGTTCTTTTTTTTGTGTGGGTGAGTGCTATAAGTGTTTGTTTGTTCCTTACAAATAATATCAAAGCGTTGTTGACACCTAATTTTATTCAGGCAAAATCTTGACCATTTATGAAATATTTAAAATTTAACCCGATTCAAATTTGACATTCATGAATTTTGACAAGTTTCTAAAATCAAAATTGGAGCCAATTTGACCAAAATACTCTAAGGTCAAATTTGGTCAAACTTAGTCAAACTTGGTCAAAATGATCAATGGTCAAAATGAATGAAACTTAGGTCAATCTTTGAAATTCACAACCAAATTAAAGTCAATGTGGATAAAGATTGAAATTTATGATTTTAAAGTATTAAAAAGTCTAATTGCAATTTGAAAAGTATAAAATTGTAAAAATACCCTAAGGGTATTTTTGAAATTTAACATTTTCGAAGTCGGGTTTTTGTGAAAACTTTCAAATCATAATTGAATTTTTTTTCATGATTTTTGATGCATTGAAACCCATATCACACCTTAGGAGATGTGAAATTACCAAAATAGCCCTTAAAAAATTTTCGTAATTTAACTATCCTAAGGTTGGAATTTTGGAAAATACTCCAAATCATGGTTTGATATTATTTGATGATTTTTAGAATTTAAAAACTTTGATTGTACCTCAAGAGGTATGAAATTATCAAAACACCATTTAGGGGTATTTTTGTAATTTGACCTTTTTGAGGTAGATTTTTCGTGAAACTTTACATATCATATTTTTATAATATTTCATGATTTTTGGTGGATTCAAAACTACTACAGTACCTTGAGAGGGATGAAATTAACAAAATACCTTTTAGAAATAATTCGTAATTTGACACTTCTTGAAGTTGGAATTTTATAAAAATTTTTAAATCTTAATTTTATATTATTTCATGATTTTTAGTGCTTTAAAATCCTAAAAGTGAATAAGGAAGCATCGATTTTCAAGAAAATGGCTAAAAACAAAAAAACTTTGTAATAAAGGCAAAATGCTTTTTCAACATGGTCTCAATGTTTGTAAAAATCCAACCTTTGGTAGTATGCATCTTAGATCGTTAGATCATTTTGAGGAGCTTGATCCAACAGTGAAAATTGGCTCCTTGAAACCAAAACACAAGGATGAAACTTGGATCTTAGGATGTGTTTTGATCTAATGGCTAGGATTTAATTGGGTTGAGATATTTCATCATCTTCACCAAAAGAGGATTGACATTTTTTACAAAAAGAATGAGGAGAGTTCGTGAAACAGAAGGAGGGAAGACAAAACCTAAAAGAAATTCATGAAAAAAAAAAAAGAAAGGGAGAAATATTTTTGCTTTGCTTGCTTGAAAGTATACTTTCTCAATTTCCATATTGTATTTTCTTGCATCCTTATCACATTTTCCACAGCATTTTCATATTGTTTCATCCATTTTTTTTTTAATTCTCAAGTTCATTTTCTTCTTCAAAGCTTGAATCAACTTCACCCAACTAATCAATAGTGGGATTAAAGCTAGAATTCAAGTAACAAAAAAACTCAAATCCACTATAGAAATACAAGTTGGAGGTTTGGCCAACCTCTTCCACCATGGTCAAACCTCATTTTGGCTTTCCCTAAATGTTTTCTTTGTTTTTTTGTTACCTATGAATGTTTTGGTTGATGGTTCACTTGTTATTAGTCAAATTATGCTATTAATCCCTATACTTATACTGAATTTGAACTTTAGTCTTTATAAAATAATCTGAAAAAATCAAATCCTCATAATAGTTTAATTTAACAATATATGTCCAATTGATATCAATGTTAGTTGATTTTTGTTAAGTTAGATGACGTGACTATTGATCATGCTGACATGGTGTTGACTTTAATGGCATGGCATTGATTTCAATGATGTGGCATTAACTTACTGATATGGCAATTGGGATTGATGAAATCAGTTGTTAAATTATACAAATGGTCCATGTCTCTCCCTAAACGTTTTCTTTCTTTTCTTTTTTTTGCCGTGAATGTTTTGGTTGATGGTTCACTTGTTATTTGTTTAGTTAATGATTTGGTTTTATGGTATATGGATAGTGTTTGGCTTGTGCTTACATTTCAT